CATGAGGCCGACGAAGCGGAAAAGCAGGATGAATTAGTTTCAAATAAATCGCAAGATCTGTCTATGGAAGAAAATGGACAATTCGGATCCACTAAATCCGCAGCCGCTTCACTCGGTTCACCAGCAATTGAAGTAGGATTGACGGAAGAAGCTGAAACATTGAAGAGTGAAACTAAGCATCGGAAGATGAATGTTGAGGAGCAGACTGAGGACTGGTGGGCCAGAGTACTTGATTCAGATCAGCAGCGTCTCCGTCGTCGCATGTTTCGTTCGCGTCCCTGGATAAAGATCGGCCTGGGTCTCCAACGCTTGGCTCGAGCCTGGTTTAGTCTGATACAGGAATGGAACGTTCAATGGCGCGAGTTGCAATTAATGCTTGGTGTATATCAATTTGTACGGTAAGCTGGAAAGATCGTCTGTCTGGCATTTCAAGTTCCTCCTCTACTATTTATCGAAACACTCATTCTAACTTCTTTTGGATATTTTACTAAGCATGTACTATTTCCATGTATTGACAATTTGGTAGGTCAACTAGCAACGAAATAAATGAATCTTTCATCCTTAAAAATGAAATTAATAGACTTGCGTTCTTGCTTACTTTGCAAGTAATAGTGATAATCAAATAAACGAATAAAAATGTTTAGATGATTTCTGCCAATATTTTCCCTTAAGACCATTTGTCATGAGGGCCATTGGAACAAGAGCCAGTAAAGAGGATTGTTGTTCGCACTTTTTAGTCTGAAACAATAATTGTTCACTGGTTGATAACATTTTTTAATCAGGGTCTATTGTCAGTAATAAATCCTCCATTCATTCATTCATTTGTTCAATAGATAAATCAATAAGATAAATTAATTAATTAATTAAAATGATTTAAGTAATTAATTGAATTCTAATGGCAAATACAACTTTTAATTATAGATTCTACCGTTATACTTGTGATATATTGACAGTCTGGCTTGTCTTGAAGGTTACATCTTTCATGCTGCACAATGGTATCCGTTACTATATGCAGTAGAGGTAACTTATCGTCAGTTTAAGCGCAAGATTTGAGTTCGATTTCAATTGGGCATGCTGTTGGGATCCAGGCGAAGTCAAAACTGTAGTCTGATCCAATTGAGTATACCTTTTGCATAAAAAGTCTAAGCGAATCTTAATGACATCGTGAAGCCTATTAATATCAAGGTGGAAAATTCAAATATAGGACATTAAAAACCATATGTGACCTAAGGTGACTACCATTCTTACCAAATATTATTATTTAAAAATCATTCAAAGCTGGTTCGACATACAAAAGGATTATTCTTTATTCATCTCTTATTTTTCTCGTACGTAAACAAGATTACGCTGCAGACATATTCATTGCCTATGCCTTTCCCCATTCGTTTTTGAGGTTCAAATTTCGTTTAAAGCTAAGATATAATAGAGACCCTTACTGGATAATTTTCTAAATATTTTTATAACACAAGAATTTCTTTTAATTTTGTTGACATTCCCTTTTTACAACGATATATCTCCTTTTTCATTCAATTTATTGATGTAAAGATGAAGGTACTTAATGGAAAAATTCTGTCTTATTATTCACTATTTAGTAGGTTACTTGACAGGAGCTAGTAAATAGATGGCTAGATTTTATTTAAATAAGTCTTTACAAAAGTTTCGAAATCTATTAATGCCTGAAGTATGTGCATCATTACTTGTCAAGCAGCCGTCTTTTACATTACTAATTACTGCTTGACAAATATATAATAATGGGATAATATATTTCTAAGCGCATATAATCGTTAAGGGAACATTCTTTAGTTTAAGGTAAGAGGATGGAAGGGTAATATTCGTTAAATTATTGTAAATATAATGCTATAAACATTGCAAATTTGTATGAGGCTATTTTCATTTAATAGAATTTATTCATAATCCCTATAGAAAATAGAAGCAATATTAAAATAACCTATGCATTTTGGCTATCGTCTATGCATATTAAATTGTCATTTATAATCAAAACTAGGGAAAACTAGTCAGGCATTTTTCAATAAGGACGACTTCCTTCATTTTTAGTGTTAGATTATTATATTAGTTAATTAGATAATATCCCTTATGTTATTTATATATGGTATCGTTCTTGTTTTTGAAAAATCCGTTTTTATTGAATATATGAAAACCAAGATGTTGTGGCCTCTGGTGTAGTTGCAGTCACACTTCTATCAATCCGTTTTTACTTTATATTTTGTCGCGCTATATTTTTATGCAATGAACAATTATGTTTTATGCTATTTCTTACTCATTATAAAGTAACTTAGATATCGAATATTTTGGACCATTTTGGTTTTATTGCTGTAATTTTAATACTGTTGGCCTTTCTTACCAGACACACCATACTAGTAGCTTTTAGCTCATATGGTGTGTCGTAGGCCATTTAAGATTGTAATGATGCAGCTTTCAAACTTTATTTTGACTTAGGTTGCTTGATGATTATATCGTTACTATTTTTTGTTAATTTATCATCATTCATTTGTGTAAATTTTAACCATGATTCAACAGCGGGATATATGATATAGCCATCCAGTTGATTCCTAAATGGCGAATTACTGCTTCCCAGCGTGTTCCCATAGGTAGACTTTCTTCCATTCTAGGTTGTACGTGAGGACTCACTAATTGTTTCATTAAGAATGTCATCTTTAGTGGACAATCGCTTTTTACTCTAAAAGCACTGATACGAAATAAAATTAATAATAAGTTCTATATTTTCTTCCCATGTACACCTCAATACATCTGGGTCAATTTGGTAAAAATCGTTATTCCGAGCTTAACAAGAACTTGCTGCGAAAAGTTCAAAAGTGTTAGGATTCTAAATAGTTATTCGTATGTTAATTGGCCAGTATATTGGGAGGGAAGATTTAGGGTAGTGAGTCTTAATTTCCTTAATTCTTTGTTCGATGCTAAAAATCTATCTACCATTCCCGAAAAATGCTGGGCTTAGATCGTTCTTTGACTACCCTTTTCAGCTTCAGTTTTCCGTTGCAATATACTCAAGTCCGAAGCTAAGTATAAGGAAGTGAACCGTTACGCGAGTATCTGTAAAAGAGTATTTTTAGGTAAACTAATTTCATCAATATACCAAAGCAATTCATTTATTATTAGGTATTGCCAGCTAGTTAAAAGCATAGTATGAAGTTGATTAAACAATATTTCCTACATTTATCATGCAATTGTTTTACTTTTCATTCTACAGACTAGATCGAGGTACGCGTATTTTATACAAATTATCTGCAGTATTCTTAACTTTCAATGGAGACTTGGCTATTAATTATAGCAGATTAAATTTTATCTTTG